ATTATGTTTTTTTCTTGTTTTTTATATATATTTTTTGGTTAATGGTTTATGTTTCGTTTCAAGTTATTGGTAGTGTTGTTATTATCTGTGTGGTTGTTAATACTGTCATTCAGTTTTTGGTTTTCTATATTATTATGATTGGCATTTAACTTGTTTTTATTATTATGATGATGATGCATACGTTTATCTATATATCTCTACATCTACATGATAGTGAATAAGTATGTGTCTGAAAATATGTTTTATATAAGGGATGAGAGGAGGGTTATACTTTATGTGTATGTGCGTAAGTGTACGTACGTAGATCTTCATACCTACATCTACCCGCATACCCACATACAACCCGACAGATTCCTCTTTCCCTCTCTTTCTCTCCCTCCACCTACCCACCTACCCCGCCCCCCTCCACCTCACCCACGCCTCACATACTCACCCACCGACCTCCCCCCTCCCCCTCCCCCTCCCCCTCCCACGCCCCGCACACCTCGAAGCGCACACTAAGGTCCCGCTTCTCCCCAACAGAGAACACGGACGGGGAAGGCAGCCAAAGGAAGAGCAAACGCGTCCGTACGACCTTCACGGACGAGCAGTTGCAGGTCTTGCAAGCCAACTTCCAGATCGACTCGAACCCGGACAGCCAAGACCTCGAGAGAATCGCCCAGTTGACGGGGCTCAGCAAGAGAGTCACGCAGGTCTGGTTTCAAAACTCGAGGGCGCGCCAGAAGAAAAATATGTCGTCTAAGAAACACCAGCAAGGTAGTTTGATTATGGATAGTTTTCTTCTCTTTTTGTTGTTGTTTTTTTCTTGTTTGGTAGATACTTGGATTTTTTTTGTGTGTGTATTTTACAGATGGACTGAGAAACGGCGAGGGAATGAAATTATTTGTGGATTGTTTATTCTGATTTGTTATTGTTTATATATATTGATATATTTATTTGTTTATTTATTTATTTATTTATTATATGAAATACAAATGGTTCGGTGCAATGAAATAATCTGGAAAACACGACCAAGGCTAAAAACCTCTCTTCATCACTTTACAAAATTTCTGTAGATGACATTAAGGATTTCCTATGATATCTGATTAGTTAAATCACCTTTCTTACTTTTTATTATTTCATGAAATTGATACGAAAGAGATCTGTGATATGTAAAGCTACAGATCATGCATTATCGCACATTGCTCAATTATAAAGTATATGATGTGGTTATACATTATACATAAAAGAATGTTAGGTTTTCATACAGCTTTATAGAGTCTTATAATCAATTATTGAGAAGATTAAATGTTTGTTTCCAACTCGTTATTAAGAGAGTAACTATAAAAAAAAATAGTTTATGCTGGATTTTAGACTCATCTCTGTTGTTAAAGTTTATATGTTAAAAAATATATACCGTAAATGGATACATATCTGTTTATGTGTGTGTGTGCGTGCGTGCGTGCGTGCGTGCGTGCGTGCGTGCGTGTGTGTGTGTGTGTGTGTATGTGTGTGTGTGTGTGTGTGTGTGTGTGTGTGTGTGTGTGTGTGTGTGTGTGTGTGTGTGTGTGTGTGTGTGTGTTACACGCCAACAACTTTCCAAGCTGGAACAAACCGCCGCTGTGCAAACACCGTTTCAAGTGTCGAGAAGAGTAATAATCCCCAGGAAGGTGACGATGCTGTCGCTACGTTTTCCCAGATCTGTCCAACGTTTCAGTTTTAACGTTCCACGTGTTGGAGTGACGTAATTACCGATGAATGGCATGTGATTGGCCCAACATGGTCACGTGACTCAATTTTGGCGCCATTGACAACCACGTGTCGGCTGACTCAATTTGCGCGCCATGATGAAAGAGAGAGCGAAGGGGAGACTGAAGTATTACACATCTCGCGCGGATAAAAAAAAGAACATTTATTCACTATCTAATGTCACAGGACACTGCACTGCCTTCCCTTCCTCTCCCTTCCCCTCACCCCCCCCTTCCTCGTTGCTTCATTTGATTTCGCTTGTCCCGTGTCGATTTTTTCATCTTTTTATTTTTTTTTTCTTTATTCGTTTCTGTTTTCTCTTTTATTAAGAGGATGGGAAAAGGTATTTACTTCATTACCTGTCGCGCGTATTTTCTATATGTAGGCCTATCACCTGCCTTAGATGGCGTGCAGCTGCTTTTCCGTTAAGAAAAAAAATATATGGATTATTTATTTACTTGAGCCTCGGGATGAGACCAGAAAATATTCATATTAAGTAAAATTTAATGTAATTTATTATAGTCCGTTTTGAAATAGCGAAATATTAAGATTTAGAAATAGATTAAAAGCTGAGAATTTTTTATGCCAAACTTTAAACTGAATAAGTAAGATCACAAAAAAATACATTTAACTTCACTCATATATGTATATATATATATATATATATATATATATATATATATATATATATATATATATATATATATATATACACGTTAACGATGCTTGTCTGTACACAAATATCGTATAGTTAAAAAGTATATACATGAAATATATACGCGCCAGTTAGGTTTAACTGCAAATATTGACAACTCAAATATTTTTTACATCACGTGTCTATAATACGAAGGTTATTTTTATATCATGATATATGGGATATCTAAAAAGAATCGTAAAGTTTCGTTTCTTAACAGATTTACAGATTTACGAAGGCCATAAATGTATAAAATAACTACTTTTTCGGGGTTGTTTTAGGGCATGTCAGTATATTGATAATGACGGCAATAAAGTAAATCATGATTATATTGAAAACATTCATAGTAATAACATTCATGGTAATGATGAGAAATACCACAGCACTGATAAATTTGAAATTAGCAGCGGACTGTATATGAAAAGGATGAAATCTCTTTGGGCCAAAAACAAATCTGACACGAATTTTAGCACGTATCTTAGCACAATGAACAAACGATGATATAAACACCATCAGGGACAACCTTTTTCACCAACACTCCATCTTCAATAACTCCTGTACCCCCATCCCTCCAACACCCTCCCCACCCAAACAAAAAAAAGAAAAAAAATCATGTTTTTTTTAAGTTTCTCCCACCAAGAGTACCCTTTTCCCCATCCGCCCTTCCCTCTTTCCCTCCCTCCCTCCCTCCCTCCCTCCTTTCCTCCCTCTCCCTCCACATCCAAAAATAACAGTCTCTCTCGGCGCTTGTCAGACATGATAACGATCTCTTCCTTAATTACGGCCTAATTAGCTCAAACCGCTGACAGGGAGCAAACATCGCTAACGAGGGCCGAGCAAACAGTTTAAGAGAACCGCCCATCCACACAACGGTAGGCGCGACGCAAGACCCTTCCTTTATAGTACTCTTCGTCATGGCGGGAGGGAGGGAGGGAGGGAGGGAGAGATGGGGGTGGGGGAGGGGGAGGGGGAGTGGGAGGGAAGGAGAAAGAGAGTTTTTAGAGTAATACAATGCTATTATATTATTGTTGTTATATTATTATTGTCCGATATTATTTTTATTATCATTATCATCATCATTATTATTATAATCAGTTGCCATTGTTGAAAGTTGTCTCCTCATTTCATTATCATTATCACTGATTACTATTATTAGAAACTATTTTCAGTAAGCCTATGATATTTTTACCATCTTTACGATTCTGTTTTCAGTACCATCATTATCATTGCCATTGCCATTATTACTATCGCTGACATATCTATTATTATCTCGAGATTGAGAAAAAAAAGCGGAACATGATTTATTTGTGAAAGAATATTTTTTTTTTATGAAGTTAATGTTAATGGAAACAAATTATTTTTTTTCTATGGAATTTCTGTAGTAGTAGTAGTAGTAGTAGTAGTAGTAGTAGTAGTAGTAGTAGTAGTAGTAGTAGTAGTAGTAGTAGTAGTAGTAGTAGTAGTAGTAGTAGTAGTAGTAGTAGTAGTAGTAGTAGTAGTAGTAGTAGTAGTAGTAGTAGTAGTAGTAGTAGTAGTAGTAGTAGTAGTAGTAGTAGTAGTAGTAGTAGTAGTAGTAGTAGTAGTAGTAGTAGTAGTAGTAGTAGTAGTAGTAGTAGTAGTAGTAGTAGTAGTAGTAGTAGTAGTAGTAGTAGTAGTAGTAGTAGTAGTAGTAGTAGTAGTAGTAGTAGTAGTAGTAGTAGTAGTAGTAGTAGTAGTAGTAGTAGTAGTAGTAGTAGTAGTAGTAGTAGTAGTAGTAGTAGTAGTAGTAGTAGTAGTAGTAGTAGTAGTAGTAGTAGTAGTAGTAGTAGTAGTAGTAGTAGTAGTAGTAGTAGTAGTAGTAGTAGTAGTAGTAGTAGTAGTAGTAGTAGTAGTAGTAGTAGTAGTAGTAGTAGTAGTAGTAGTAGTAGTAGTAGTAGTAGTAGTAGTAGTAGTAGTAGTAGTAGTAGTAGTAGTAGTAGTAGTAGTAGTAGTAGTAGTAGTAGTAGTAGTAGTAGTAGTAGTAGTAGTAGTAGTAGTAGTAGTAGTAGTAGTAGTAGTAGTAGTAGTAGTAGTAGTAGTAGTAGTAGTAGTAGTAGTAGTAGTAGTAGTAGTAGTAGTAGTAGTAGTAGTAGTAGTAGTAGTAGTAGTAGTAGTAGTAGTAGTAGTAGTAGTAGTAGTAGTAGTAGTAGTAGTAGTAGTAGTAGTAGTAGTAGTAGTAGTAGTAGTAGTAGTAGTAGTAGTAGTAGTAGTAGTAGTAGTAGTAGTAGTAGTAGTAGTAGTAGTAGTAGTAGTAGTAGTAGTAGTAGTAGTAGTAGTAGTAGTAGTAGTAGTAGTAGTAGTAGTAGTAGTAGTAGTAGTAGTAGTAGTAGTAGTAGTAGTAGTAGTAGTAGTAGTAGTAGTAGTAGTAGTAGTAGTAGTAGTAGTAGTAGTAGTAGTAGTAGTAGTAGTAGTAGTAGTAGTAGTAGTAGTAGTAGTAGTAGTAGTAGTAGTAGTAGTAGTAGTAGTAGTAGTAGTAGTAGTAGTAGTAGTAGTAGTAGTAGTAGTAGTAGTAGTAGTAGTAGTAGTAGTAGTAGTAGTAGTAGTAGTAGTAGTAGTAGTAGTAGTAGTAGTAGTAGTAGTAGTAGTAGTAGTAGTAGTAGTAGTAGTAGTAGTAGTAGTAGTAGTAGTAGTAGTAGTAGTAGTAGTAGTAGTAGTAGTAGTAGTAGTAGTAGTAGTAGTAGTAGTAGTAGTAGTAGTAGTAGTAGTAGTAGTAGTAGTAGTAGTAGTAGTAGTAGTAATATAAAATCCCTGTAACTGATCCTTATCCAGTGTTTCTTGAATCCTTATATTTGAACTATTACACTTGAACCTTATTAAGTTGTTCTTAAACCCTTATATATTGAACTAATTACACTAGAACCCCTATATTTAAACCTAATACAGTTTTCCTTAAACCCTTATAGTTGAACCTAATCCAATTATACTTAAACCCATATAGTTACATCTATTTCAAATTTCCTTAAACCCTTATAGTTGAACCTAATGCAGTTATACTAAAACTCTTTTATCTGAACTTAAGCCAATGTTTTCCTTTTTTGTTAATCTCTTATATTTGAACGTACTTATCATCCTTTGATTTACAATTTTCGTTATTTTTATTCCAGGTCTCGACAGAGCTCTGCAGGATATGAACGGGTCCTTGTCACGCACCATCGACCTCCACTTTATGTATTCTTTTCGCCCTCAGAGTGTCGGTACGGTATTTTTTTAATTTTCGTTGGTTTGGATTGTATCCGTTTTATTTATGTAGTTTTATGCGTTGTTGTATTTTTAGTTGTTGTTGTTTTATTATCGTTCGTTTTGGTTGTGTGTGTTTTGTTACGTGTTTTCAGATTTCGTTTATTTTTTCTGGTAATCGTGTTGTATTTCTTTAGTTTTTTCCTCAGAGTAAGGGTTATTGATATCAGCATTATTAGTATATTCTTGATAGAATATTTATTTGTAATAAAATTTGGAAGTAAATTTTCTTGTTGAATTTTAAGGACGGAGTCATCACTACGGATATTTTTATTACTCTTGCTAAAAAAAATATGTCGCTTCTTTTGAAAATCTAAATTTTTCGCTATTTTCTGCTGTAGTTCATTATTACATAATCAGTACGGACACATCAATTACTCTTGCTCATAAAGAGTACTCTAATTTAACTGTTCTTAAATATCTCCTTGATGTTTTTTATATTTTCTGCTGTAGTTAATCATTACTTCATCAGAACGGATACCTTTGGTACTCTTGCACATTACTGAGTATTCCAATCTAACTTCTCTTAAAAATCTCTTTGATATTTTTCGCTATTTTCTGCTGTAGGTCTATTAATTATTACTCCTTTGCCATCCTTCGTTGTCATTTATCCCCTGCCTCTCTCCCGACAGAGCCTGAGGAATCGTCATCTCCCGAGACCCCAATAATGACCATGATGCACGGCGAGGTGTGACGTCACGAGAGCGGGTGTCGGGCATCACCCCGATGACGTCATTCCACCGTATATAAATAAACATCATTTAAAAAGAAAATCATCCAAGGAGATACGCCGAGAAAAAGGGCGTTTTTTTTTCTCTATCTTTTCTTTTCTTTTCTGGTCCCCTCGTCTTCTTTCGGTGAAAATAACCCGCTTTCTGTCGGATGCCAACGGATCGTGAGAAATATTTTTTAATTCTCTCACTCTTTTTATTATAAGAATCATTCATAAGATCATTCCTGTGTTCGGTCTCTTGTATATAGGGTTCACTAATTATTCCTCTTACACAGGATGATCCTTCCCTCTCTATTTCTCGTGGCATCGTGACAATTCCTTTTTTTTTCCTTTTATACCGTGAAAATAATGTTATTGCACTAGTTACCTTCACATTATTCATTCATTAATGTCAAAAAGGCGGTTCGGTCATCTTGTGTTGAGCTTCGATTAACTCTTGGCCGACTGCTAATCACTATCATCCGTTGTATAAAATAATATTAAATGATAATGACGTCTGTAGGTATAGGCATGTCAGATCAAATCTATGTCTTTCAGTGTTTCAATGTTGTGCTAAAGGGTTGCTAAGCAGTCTCGTTGCGCATATTAAAAGGGGTTGCAATGGAAGGATCTTGCAAGTTTCTCTCTCTCTCTCTCTCTTCCCTTCTTTTTTTGTCTATTCTCTTTTCTCCTTTCTTTTTTTCTCTCATTTTTATCTCTCTTTGTGTCTCCTCTCCTCTCTTTTGTCTTTTGCCTTTTGTCTTTCTTTTTTCTCATCTCTTCTCTCTCTTATTTATATCATAATTAATGTAATGACTGTTTTCTTTCACCAACACATTCATATTTTCAATAACCCCGAAGAGGAATTTTAATAAGATATTCTTTCTGGTAATTTTTGAGAGAGAACGCGCGTAAAAGAAATAAAAATGAAGAATATAATTTATATGAAAATTAAAAAAAAAAACATAACTTACAAGATTCTTCAGCCCTCTTTACATATTAGTCTTGAGGTGAATATTTCACTACCGTATTGTAAATAACTGACACGTCTTCTGTCAAGTCTCTTTGTTATGTTGTATATTAAGGAGGGGGAAAAAGGGGTTAAAAAAAG